CCCCAAAACCCCAAAACCCCAAAACCCCAAAACCCCAATTGAGACTTTCAGGATTGATGAAAGATACTAAATTAATATTAACTATTGATCCTTTCTCAACTCTGATTACAGACTGTGACTGGGCAAACTCCATATTCATAAAGGCTCCTTGCATATCAATCAGAGTCTTCAGATTGTCATTACTAGAGTGGAATGAATGTATACTGATCAGTCCAGAGACAGCTCCTACCACTGTAAGGTTACCAACAGTTACTGAAAGAGGAAACTGGAGAATAATTGACTGATACAAAACACGGAAATGGAGGAGAGACTGGATTAGCTAGTACGCAAAGCCGAGGCAGGAGGTGAGACCTTGCTGAGTCCTACCGCTGGGACTACAAGGCAGCTTGATGTCCCTTTTTAGGGTTTTGGAGGTTCTTCAAGCTAGTTTAGCTATCCAAAAGGTTCCTTCATTGTGCTCAGATCAATTATTCTCATTCTCGACAAGAGTGTCAACACTGTGATAGTGAAATAAGTGAACTAGCGGGAAGTTGAATATTCCCAACCAAGACAATGGGGAGGAAGCTGATGAGGATATTCTGCAGATTTACCTGTATCCATACTTTTACTGTGAGTGCCATTATACCAGAATTTCATGAATATCGTATTTGTGACTTTCATCCTCTTAAAATTATTCTCAATAATATTAGACAAAAAAAAGAGGAAGCTGATGTACTAACTCTAGTCAGTTACTCTCTACCAAGTGGGCAGCATTGATAGAATCAATATGCCCTAAGTTCACCATGTATTGAATCTCTGTTATCTATCCTTCCATTGTAGGCAACAGATTTGAATGACTAACCCGCAGTCTATTTCATAAATATCCTCAACTGAAGTATCCATATTTTTCCAGTAAAAGGAAGGAGCTGTTCAATTTTGAACTGTCAAACCATTAAGTCAATCATTTATCCTCTGGGATACACAAAAGCATTGCGGTTGATCCAAATGATATTTTATTATATCTACAACAAATAAAAATCTATGATAACCTCCAAAATCTCTGTAAGGAACAACAGGCTTGCCTTATCTCTAAAAACACAGCTGAATCCTCCAAAACAAGTGATTGACACTTCAGTGTTATTTTCTCGAAGAGGGTGGGAAATATGAGGAATGGTACCCTCAAAGATGGAGCTTCAGCTTATCCTTGTGCTGCTCAGTCCCACAATATTTACAAGCTGACTCATCGAGTGAACAGCTTGACCATCTTCAAGCCTAGTGTTTATAAAATAATTGGCCTAGGCCCCTAATAGGCAGAATTCAGGTACAATAAAGAGCACAGGGACTCTGGGGTAAGTACAATCTCGAGAAGAAAGTTTGATAACTTAGGGATTGAAACTTGGGAACGATCCCTATCCTAGCATTAGCTATCTCTGCCTCATCTACCATTGGGGGTTTACTAATCTGAACAGCTGAGAACAAATTTAGTCCAGGGATACATGACGAGAGAACTCTAACAGCTCCAGGATTGTTTTGAAAGCAATGTTGACAAGTTGCATATCTCAAAAAATATCATACATCATTATACCTCAGATGTTAACAAGTTATTCATTTTTACATATTCAATGATTAAAGCTTCAATCATGTTGTCAAAAATGCCGAACACTGAGCAGTCGGTTATCTATCTGATATCAGTCACTCTGGGCATGTTAAAATTAATGACAATATTTCGATAGTGAGTCAGTTAGATACCATATTTCCTGCTCAAGATTCAGAAGTATATAGACCAGAGCCCACTATATAGTTCACAAAGGAAAGAGCCTGATCTTTAATGATCTGAGGCACATGAAGTCTTGATCATCAATTCAGTCATTCTTCTGACGAACAAATCTACAAGAAATGGCTCCTTCAGTCAATATAAACTTCAGTGGGGTTTCTTACCCCATTTGGTCTAAACAAACTCAGCAGAGTTCTTTGATTATTAGTGATAGCAAACATAAAGCTTCTAAATACCAAAGTTAGAACTGAGGATGGACCAGAATATTAATCACCATACCCCTGGATAGTTGAAGATATTCTCTTCTGAGGAGTACAAGGTGCTTATTTTATTCAGATTCACCCTAATATTCTGAATCACAACATTCATAAGCCTTCTTTACTTCACAAACTGCTGTGATGTTGATCCTAATAGACTCTAAATCCTGTGTAAACAGTAACCTCTTAGATGTTGTGTCTAAGAACAATTTCCAAAGGTGGTTTTAGCAAATCTCTACTCTACAAATACGATTATTTCTACTCCAGAAATATCCACACCTAAAATACAAGAATAAAGGCTGTAAAATCCCTAAAAGTCAAATAAACCCTCTCTTGAACAAATTTGACATCCCTCAAAACCTCTAAAATGTTCTAGAATGTTTGCAGGCAGGAAAATTTAGCCTGCATAGTTAATCTCCTCTCAACAATGAGCTTGAAGCATACCTCCTGCAGTCAGATAACGAAGGGTTACTTGGAAGTATCCTTTCAGCCTTTTAGTTGATTAAGAATACCCATTTTAGGAATGGTCACAGAAAGCCATTAATATTAAAATATATCTGTCTACTATTTAAAGTAAATTTAGAGGGGTTTTGGGGTTTTGGGGTTTTGGGGTTTTGGGG